AATATTCAGCTACGAATGAAAAATCTAAATAAACTCCTCCCAGCAAACTTGCAGCAGAGCAACACATCTGCCCTCCCTTCTGACTGCAAGACATCAAACAGCTGACTGAAGAGAAAGGAAGCTTATATTTATCTTCTTCCTCTTTCTCACTTCATAGCCTTTTTATCTCTAAAAAGATACATTATGAAAGCAGAGGTGCCTGTGGGGCACAAAACAGCTGCCACATTTCCTACTTTCTCCTTCAACAAACTTCCAAAAAAAGTGCTCCATCATGGCCAAAACTGCTTAAATAAAACAGTTTATAAATTTGTACAACCAGCAGTCAAAGCTGTTTTAAAACAAGTGTCCTGAAGCATTGCTTACAGACCCAGCTGTACCACTGAACTCCAAACAGTGCTTTTAAGACACAGTGAATATGTTTTAGTTGCCTATTCATATGAGCTACTCAAGCTACCGAGGTTTTGCTACCGCCCATATTTTAGTAAAAGAGAATACTACTGACAAACCCCAACACCTCTACCAACATTACTCTACACAGTGAAAACAGACTTCATACTGGGCATTGGGTAAACAAATTGTTTCTACTCTAATATCAACACAACTTAGATTCCACCATATCGCTTGCTGCAGCTAGCTTAAATTTATTCCTCTCAAAAACTTCTGATGTGGAACCATAGCATAAAAAAAAAAAATCAGCCTGGGCAACAACACACGTGCGTGCACACACACTAGTCTATACTTGGTTAATACGGCCTCCAGTTAAAATCATTCAGTCCAATTCTGAGAATTAAGAATAGGGGCAACTCTTGTAAAAGGACTATACAAAGGGTCAGGATAAATATTTCCATTTTTCTTTGAGTTTATATTTATTGTTTTAAGAAAGGGAAAAATATATGTAACATTAAGGCCTCACCAACCTTATTATGCCCAAGTTTCCCCAGTAGTCTTGCAGGATGGAATTCTTTTTTTCCTCTCCTCAGAGTTACAGGGGATTACTTGGGTCAGAGAAAGTAGGAAACATCTCCAGGACATCTCTTCAGCCACATATGGATGTTTACCTTGTAAAACACCTGCGCAGACTGAAGGTACTACTGTTTCCCCAGCTTTGTTATTCTTGCTGTAGAATAACAACCTCACCAGTGAAAACAAACATGATTTCGCATCTGATTCACAACAACATTGGCATAATTCGTTTGATCATCAGTTAAGATGGTTTGAACTAATCTGCTAATTTTACGTGGAAGCAGGCTAAGAAGCCTCCGCACATCCCACTCCCTGGCTGAGCTGCAGGACAGTAACGTCCACCTTGTGTGCCTTCAAGAGTTGACTGGGGCAAAGGGGGTAGGTGTTTCCAGCTGAATTCTGAAAAGAACATATATATATGCACCAACTTACAACTTCAGTGCTAACAAATTCGTTTAAGATAAAGTATAGACTCAAGAAGATTCATACCTTAGCTCTTAAAATAGAAGTTAAGTACGATGCCATGCCTGTAAACCAACTCCGGTCTTTCTTAGCGGTTCTACTTATCTCTCTAGATAACTAAGATTCAAGGACAACAGGATCAAGCCAAGTCAGGGTGTAGCTGGCCCGATTACCTTTGCAGATCAGGCATTCATAACCAAACAAAATTTACTTTTTTGTGAAGAACAGCTGCATAGAAGTAATCTCTCAGAAACTGAAGGGCATCTGACAGTCAGAGAAATCATTCTGATACTATTCGATGAAGAATGCCAGAAGAAGTCTTCTTTACTAGGTAAGTCAACAAAAAAGCTGCTGACATTTCAAGGACTAAGATAAAGTATTTTAAGCAGGGGGATTTTGGCACTGAACAGGAACACACAGAGTCAAACTTTATTTGTATTTGACTTAAAAACATTAGGAGAAGTTCAATAGAACATCTGAGTTATAAGGGCACTGAACCCAAGAATAAGTTTATAACTAAATCAGCAACATTACCCTAGTGCTAAGCAGTCTTGCACCGTCCCCTAGAACTGGCATTTCTTTTAAATATGAAAGCCTATCCAAATATCAGAAAAGTCTAGTGCAGTATCTAACAACTCATCTCTAAGTTAAATCAGAGAATTTAGCTTGAAGGACTGAAAGGGCTCTGAAGTTCTACACTGTTTAATCTGTTCTGTACCTCACAGTTAACGTGCTCAGAGAAGAAGAGCACACCGCATATTAGCAAAGTTCCAAAGGTCTCTCCTGCAACAGTGTGACACCGATCTATGAGAGTTTTTCCCTCGTCAAATATCCAGCAACATTCAAGATGCCAAGGTCAATGGCAAAGGCATGTTCAAACTCTTTCATTAAAACCAACAGCACATAAATCACCTCAGGAGCTACTGTAGTGATAACAATGAAAAACCAATGAAAGGTTCCTGTTGCAGCTGATTTGTGTTGAACTTCAGTTTTACTGAATTTTCTTTATTTAAAGGAGTTCAACTCTCCATTTAAAAATGACTATACTGTAAACATATCAGTAATTCATCTGCAATCAAGTAATAGACAATGTACTTAAAATAAAAAGCTCAGAGGATTTTAGTATGTTTATACTACTTCAAATAAAATACCTCACATCAAAAGCTTCAGTTTAATCAGTATCTCCTGTGCAAATAAAGCTTGTGTACACAGTACAGACCTGTATGTCATTTAACTTCTGTTTAACCCCTCAACATGCTAGTACTTTGAATACTTCTAGCTTCTCTCTTTCAAAATGCTTTAACGCATTTAATGGGTTAATCATAATTACGCTGTCCACAAGAGCTCCGTCATTAGAGAGAATACTCTACATAAAACCAATCCTATCTACCGATCAAAGGCAACTGCTATTGCCTGTCTTTTGCCTGGAGCTCAAGCAGTGTTCTTGTCACAGGTACATTACCATGATGTACAAGCATAAGTTAAATGTCTTTTCCCATTCTCTGAAAGAACACAGAAATTTTATTTGGCTAGTAATTCAATCACTAAGGCTTTTAGCAAATAATCCTTTTTCCAAAGGAATTAAATCTTTGTTACCAGAATATATTTTTACTGTTTCAAATCTATGACCTTACTAAGAAATATCCGAACTTCCAACATGGGGAAACCTGACAGCTATACATATCAATTCATCTGAAACAGTTACCTCACCTTACACATGGACAAACTGTTTAAGCCTTTTGGGGGTACTACGAAGTAATGTAAAATAGCACTAGTGTAATAATGGAAACAGGTAATTCTTGTGCAAGAGCTGCAAGTTCAAAATAGAAAAGGAAAAAAAGGTGTTTTTCTGTTATATAAGCATTCAGCTGCACACAAAAGGTATCAGAATCCCCACTATCACTATCCTTAAAAGGAAGAAATGCGTAAGTAATCCTAAAAATCTGTATCTTGTTTGGAAATACGACTTCTAGATAAATATTCCCCTAGTCATCACAGAGAAGACACTGAATACAATTATGTAAGGGCTGACAAGTGAAGCATTTTTTACAGTTTTTCATACCACCTAACTATCTTAAAAAAAAAAAGCAGATACATAATACAGATTTGAGAAATGGTAAAGACGACATTCACATAGAATGTTTTTCAGGCAGCTCATGGAGAACAGTGAGTAAGGCAAGCAGAAAAGTGGAGTTCATGCACTGAGTATAGCTCTTCAGCCAGCTGTATTAATGTGCAGGAATTAAAAACAGCAGTAGTAAGAGACAATTACTTCACATAATAGAGAGCTTTAAGAACATGAGAACTTTTAAACTAAATTCTGAAATAAAAAGTATTATATTTTTGCATTTATGTAACCTGCATGCTTACTCATACAAATGAGCAGGCATGTGCCAGCTGTGCCATCTTTTCTTTAGTGAGTACTTTCCTCCCATTTAATATACTAACACTTGACTGAACTGATCAGTCATCACAAAGCACACCAAGCTCTAATAAGTCCCCCTCCACTTTTAAAGCATGCATACAGTTCAAAAGTCAGTAAACTTGGACAACTTCACTATCGGTTTTAAAAGCTACCATAATTTAAGAAAAGGTTTCAAGGCCAGGCATAGAAACTCAGAATCCCCCTCCCCCACATCTAGATAATAGGCAGACAATACCTACCAGTCTCATTACTTCGCATTTTGCAAATATATATACACAGTAACCAGTATTTGCTTTCAACTCAATTGTAGAGCTTTTGTATTTTAGTACATAGTGTGCCAAAATAAAAAAAAATAAAGGTCATTTAGCCTAAACATGGAAGATTATCTAAAATCAGAATAATTTTGAACTTCAAGCTTCTTTGGGTTGGGCATGTCTTGAACGAAGGAGCAAAATAATTGAATATAATGTTCTTGCAATGTTTGATTAAGCTTCCTACGGCTACTTCTCCAGCAAGACAAAAGAACGATCCATTCAACAATGGATCAAATTTTTTCCCCAGGAACAAGGGTTCTTAGGTTACAAAAATCGGATCAGCCAGAACAAGCAAAATTTCAGTACAACTGACTGGGCAGTGGTGACTCTTAGCTGCATTCCACACCACAGCCCAACTCTGTTGGTGAGAAATTGCGAAGGTGGGAATGACCATGATCTCACACAAGTAGGCAAATTAAAATAATGAGTCAACACTGAAGTTGAAAAAAAAAGAAAAAAAAAAAATCTTTCTTTTTCATTTCTGCCAGGTATAAACAAACACTTTACACAGACAGACAGCAAGCAAGCAGTAGCTGTTAGCGTAATCACGGTCAGACATAAGACATCAACTAGCATGAATGCTGAGACATTTAAATTGCACACGTATTAACTGCAGTTAATAAAAGAATTTTTAAAACAAATCAATAAAGAAATGTTTAAAGCTTTTTTTGAAACAGTTTTCAAACAAGTTGTGTAATTTACAGCAGACAATACTGAAGAGCAGAAGCTATTTATGAGAACACAAAATTTTTGCTTCAGGTCTTTAATAAGATATGTACGTACATAGAAAAGTAAATACATATAACATACATGTAAACCACCATAAAAGAGCTTACAGTTCTTTGTGCTTCTCCTCTGCCAAAATTTGGTCATTTGGCTTCAGCCCATACCTTGAAAAGAAACACAAAACACAAGCAGTCATTCCTTTGAGAATATAGCCATAAAATATAGTTTTATAGTTTCAAACTGGCAAATGCTTAAACTTTGTAATATTTGTTGATTCAGGTACCTCAGGCATTGCAATGACAGCAAAGTTTTCTAAAAAATTTATGACATTTTTAGTAAAGATCACACAAAAATTTTGCTTTATATCACAGCTTCAAATTATATCAGATACTTTGGCTTGCTATATATCCAAAATCCTTGCACTTCATAGCATAAACTAGACATTGATCTTTTAATTTGGACCTGATGAAACGTGACAGTGAGGAATACAGACAATGCAAACACTAAAACTGGCTATAGTGTTTCCCCCTGCACGAAGTGAAACTATGACAATCAATACCAAAAACAACCTATACACTATACAACCAAAATACACTTTAACAACAAGCTATTTAAGAAAACTTCTGCAGTCCATACAAACAACCTCTGATGAAAGTGAGGCCTTGAGAGAAAGAAACTTTTTTGCCAGCTTAACCTCCTAGGCAATTTTACCAAGCAGGGTGCCTGCACTGCCTGAATCAGAGGGGAAAAAGGAGCCCAGGCTGCCCCAGCCCAGGCTGCTACTCATCATGCTGCTGGCTGCACTGCCGCTCACCTTGGAAAACCTTCAAGAAGTGACTGCACTTCTGTTCTGCCTCAGAGCAAAATCTTTTGCCATCTCAAAATATTCCACAAATTTAACTGCTATGGTTTTCAGTGGAGCTTGGTTTTTTGGGTTTTGGGGTTTTTCTCGGTTGATTGGTTTGTAACACAGTTATACGTAACGCAAGCAGCTAAAAGTCAAGTGTCCATTTGATAATTCTGCAACCAGCTAACTGCTCACACTGCAGACGGTTCCTACTGTCCCGTCACCCTCTGTTTTTGTTCCTTGTTCCAGTCAACTGCAGAACCATAAATTACTCCTCCTGAGGAAAGATTCTGGTCAACCACCAACTACAATCAAGCTATCTTGCAAACTGATTTTTATTTCAGATAAACAGATAAAATCTATGTCCTCTATTTCTGATGATACTTCCCGAAACTTGTTTTTTTCGGCATCCATTTAAAATGCAAGCATCAATCCCAGACACATTCTCAAGCTCACTAGTGCTGCATTCAAACATACAAGACACCGACTGATTGACCCATTTTTCTTGTTTACATATGCAGAAACTGCCTTAGGTTATTCACCATAGTATCACACTGACTTGCATCCATTTATCCACTTTGCTGCTAAATCCTTCATGGAGTCACTTCTAATCAGGATGCGGTGGAATCCATCCACATCCTCCTTCTAAATGCAGGGTTTGCATTTGACTCTCTTAGCGAGCAGACTACACTGTAACACATCATTCAATAACAGATTCAGGTCACTTGGTTTAATTGCCAAGTCTTCTTTATAGTTTACCCTCCTGTTGGTCTTCAAGCCACAAACTTTAACTGTTGTGATCTTGTGTTTACTTCCAAAATCAATGCTTTCTGTAGTGAACAGTATCAGGCTCTTTTTCTTTAACGAAAAAGGGTCTAGCTCAATACCAGCCTCTTCACAATGCTGCTACACCTTCCCGATATCTCTGCCTGTCATGTCTTAATACACATTTTACTGACAGCAAATACTCATACATCAGAGAAAAAACAAAGTGCTACCAGGAAATTCTAAAAGTAACATCTTCCAGAAGTCAAAGGACACTCACTCTTCCTATGCAACTTGTAATCTTACTTAAAATGAAATCAGGCCATTTGTTAAAAGGATTCATCTGTCATAGACAGATATATCCTTGGCTAATACGCAATCTATTTTGTAAATGGAGATAATTCTGCCCATTAGAAAATATATCTGCCTTAAGTCACAACCATTCGTCACTAAAAATAACACTGCATGCTTCTTCTCTGACCAGAAATCAGACTACTTTAGCTAGAACTGAATTTTATCTGCTGAGGATATAGAAATAATTTCCATACTTGAGCTTTTTAAAGCTTCCAGATTCCTCGCTCTTTCACTTTTTTTTAAAATCACAATTTAACTCCCACAGTTATTTAAAGGAAAAAACCCAAATAAAACCCTTCACTACTCACTCAGACTAGTAAGTCAGCTACAACGAAACCGCGTACCATAACGGGAATGCTGTCCAACAGATGCGGGATTTTGCCTTGGGTGTGTCACTGACATACCACAGAGGGGTGCATGAGGGACACAGTTGCTACCCCTGAAGTTTGCAGAACGGGTCCTTTGGTGAGCCTTGGCTTACCTAATATTTTTCACCACCATCCCATTCTTTCACGAGGAAAATGGCATTTTTCAAATATTCTTCCTTGTCACCTAAAGACATTGCTTTGATAGCAACTTGTCAAAGAAAATTTCCCCACAAAGGGACATGCTTGTAGAGTTCAAACTTTTATTAGTACTTTATACATTAAGACCTGATGCATATTATATTTCATTCACAGCCGCTAAAGTATTTAATAAATTTAAATGTGCAACTAGCACAGTGAACAGCTTACATAATATTTCCCAACATGTGTTTCGTAGGCAAGATTGATAAGCACCAGTTGGCTCTTCCTAACTGATGAAGGTTAGGTTTGAGACAGTTTCTCCACAAAACATTTTAGGAGCCAAGGATTCTCAACGCAAAATTGAAGCTAAAGATACACAGCTGAAAGACTTCAAACCATCTAAGCAACCAGAACATACTGTACACGCATTACACATTCAAATGCCTGGTATTAAACTAGTAAGTAGAAGAGAAGCAAATACGCTGTGGAAGTGGGCAAAGGACCCGAAGGGACCACAATTTCACTTTTTCCTATTTTCTGCCCTGCGAAAGTCAAAATTCAACACATCCTAGCATGTTCAGTAATGATTATTCTTTTCAACTATCCAGTACCAAACTGTGATACAGTTTCAAAATGTTAACAGTCTTTTTATCACTGCTCAAGACCCTATTGCAAAAAAAGGACCCAAGAATAAAAATACGCAAGGGCCCACAGCAAGCTTGTAGGTAAGCGTCAAAACAAACCACGGTACATTTCAAAAATGGTACTTCTCAACACTTTGATATGCCCGTCACAGACATTTAATCTGCTGGAAGCGCAGCCCGCGTTGCAGCCGCTCCCTTCGACAGGGCAGCTACACCCCTAAAAACGCCGCCCGCCCCCGAGCCGCCCAGCCCCGCCGCTGCGCACCGTGGCTAACGGCTCCTGGCAGTCCCACAGCCTGTCGTGCGTTGGGCAGAACTTCCCCCTTTGGAAGGCAGCAGCTTTCTCCCCACAACTCGGCTCCTTACGGGATTTCTTAAGCCCCAACACACTTGCTCTAACCTCTAGCTGTCATCACTCCATCACACCCTACACTGATGAAAGCTCAAGCGACCCAGCTGCAGGTAGGAGCTAACAGAGGTCATTATTCTATCCTCCAGCCCCTAACTGCAGCTTAAATGAGAAGTTTCACGCTGCTTTACATTACTCTTCCGTGTCCAGATGATTTTTTTCAAAAACAGTATTCTTTCCAATCTGGTTACAAAAAAGCATGTTTAGGCATTTAACTTACCAGGACAAGGGAGCAACCTAATTCCGCCCTATGTTTCATCAAGAAACAAAGGCCCAACTGGAATTCACACTCCGGAAAAGCCCCTCTCTGTCCATCGACTACACTGGACATACCGACGCAAGATGTATAAATTGGCCTGCTGAGCAAGGAGATTTGAATGCCTCCCATTAGCACCTAATCCCGCAACTTCAGAACAGTAGCAAACTGGGGACATCTTTCAACAAGAAAATCTTGAAATAATTTAATTGTAACGATCAAGGATGTTTTCAACTTCCCAAGACAAAGCTTGCCTGGACCTCCCAGTCTTTTTTCCTTATTTGTTTACTGTAATCAATAACTCTACCAGAACTCAGATCTGAACTTCATGTTATTTTCTTCCTCTCTAACTGTTGTTTCCAGAACCAAATTTTAGGTACATGCAGATACATACATAATACCAAACTTCACTCCTAAAACCTTACTATAAATTCACAACTACATTAAACTTCATTATCTTCCCTTTCACAGGCCTGAAAATAAAGTAGCACAGGCCCAGACTACGAGATTACTGCAGGCATTTTGAGGACAGATATTATACAGAGCCAAAATGGCATTAAGAAAATTTGGCTGTACATACAGCTAAATATACTCTTATCAAAACAATGCCGAGGCCACTTGGAAGAGTTTTACTGTGTCTAACAGCTAGAGGCACAACTCTGACCAACACGTTCTACTTGGTTACAGTGCTATAAAGTACCACAATGAAGCCAGGATACTCTTCTCCTCTTGCACATATATGACTTCCCTAGCCCTCCCCTACAAGTCCATCATCTCAATTTCAGTTTTTGCAGAAATGTAACATTTTTATTAAATGTCAGCTTTTCATTTTTTAAGCAGAGTAGAACATGTAAGTTCAGCTCTGACTTGTGCAATGCATTTTAAAGATCCTCCTAAAATGGTAATCCTATGATTCAATGCTTTTTTATTTCCTAGCTCCTAATGAGAGAGTATGAAAATTAATGTGCTTGGACTGTAGTCAGCGTTTTTACAATAACTCTCTTATTGCAACAGAGCGCCATACGGCATGGTTCCCTGCAGGCAGCATCCAACTTTACAAAGCCTTAACCAAATTAAATAGAAACACAGCCCACGCTAAATATGCACTGGTTTAAAAAAAAAAAAAAAAAAAAAAAGAACAAGAGTTTCCTGAAAAGCTGGTAAAACTCACCTGTCCTAAGGCCCAAAATAAAAACTGATGATGAGCAAACAGGTTTAAAAAATTGCAATAAATCTCCATAGCTTCAAAACTAATTCATCTTACAAAATTTCTGACTTGAATCAACCAATCCAAGCAAAAACCTATCTAGAAACAATAGCTAAAAATTGCAGAGAGAAAACTAAAAATCAGCACAGCCACTTGGGCCAGAAGAGCCAAGACAG